GCCAGATTGGGAACTCAAAGCCAAGAAAAGACCAGAGACCCTGAAGGCATCCCAGAGAGGCAGGAGAAGTGGAGAAGTGTGGCCAATATTCTGTGGAGACAAGCGAGGGAGATTTTGGCTGTTTTAACTGAGATAGGAATCTAGAGGAAAAAAAGGTAGGGGAAAGGAAAGCATTTCCTGGAAGTATCCAGAAGGATCAGAGGACAACTGTGTGCTCCCCCACACAGACCCGCCTTTGTCTTTCCCACTCTTAAGTCTTAAAAATCAGTGGGAGTCATAAGCATGGTGGATGAGAAGGTGCTTCACTGGTATCAACCCCAGCCTTGAGAAGTCAGCCAAAGGAATGGAATGTTTTCTGGTTATGCCACATTTCTAGAAAAGATCTCATCACATCTGTTCATTATAGCACCAAGTGAAGGAAGGATGAATACCAGAACAGGACCTGAATGATCAGAGATTGACATAATATAGGGGACTTGGGGGCACATCTCAGATCCTGACTTTAGAGATAGCCAGGTGACCCAGTAAAGAGAGAGAGGGCTCTGGGCTTGGAATTAGGAAGGCAAGTTCAACTCTGACCTTAGACACTTACTAGCTGGGTGAGCCTGGGTAAATCATTTAACTTGTCTGCCTTGGTTTCCATTGTTTTGGATTTTTTAAATAATACTTTTATTATTGTTTCAATATAATTGGTTTCCTTTGCAATCCTATGTGTTTGATTTTATGCATTTTAAAATATTCTGAGAAAGGGTTCAAAGGCTTCTCTGGACTGCCAAGGGGTCTGTGACATAGAAAAAGACGAATAGAAACTTCCCTGGAAGTTAGTAACTTCTTTCACAGGCCTCCCTAGGGATGCTATGTTCTACAGAGACCCAAAACATTTAATAATAGCACATTCACATTTACAAGGAACTTTTATACAATGTGTTCTAAAAGTCTTTAACTTTAACTCTAAAACTATTAGTTTAAAACTGCACTAAGACTTTTGGAACACCCTGTATGCATTATCTCATTTGATCCTCACTACAAACCTTCAAAGTGGCTGCAATAGGTATTATTCCATTTTACAGCTGGAGAAACAATCACAGGTGTGGTGATTTGCCCAGGATCGTCCAACTAAGAAGGCCCAGTCTGTCCTTACTCAGAGGCCCTCTTAGGTGCAGGAATGTCATTACAATGGGGTGAAAAAGCATTTTCTGGAAGGGAATGGAGGCTGACCACTGACCCCAAGACTCCCTCCCCTCTTCCTTGCCGTCTAGCTGCAATCCCTGCTTTGGACTCATTGACTCCTCCTACTGGCTTCTCACTGCTACCATTCTTCCTTACGAACTGGGTTCCAAGGTCCAGGACACATTAATTATGTCCCTTCTTTTATCAGAACACCACCTTTCTTTAAGCTTTTAAAACTTTTAAAGTAAGCTTTTAAGCTTACTTCTCAGCAAATACAGGAGAACATGCTGTGTGTGTGTGTAACCTGTGATTTTATTGGTTAGTCAATAAATAAACATTAAGTGCTTACTGTGTGCCAGGCATTGTGCTATGGACTAGGGATACAAAAAGAGTCAACACAGCCCCTTTGAGGAATCCACAATCTAATGGGTGAGACAAAAAAAAAATGTGTGTGTACATACATACATATGTACACATATACATATGTATGTGCTAGCTGTGTGCAGGATAAATAGGAAATAATTCAGAGAGGGAAGGCGCTAGAAATAAGAGGTGTTAGGAGGGCTTCCTGTACAGGATGGGATTTTAGTTGGGACTTCAAGGAAGCCAGGGGAGCCAGTAGGTCAAAATGAACAGAGGGATCATTCCAGGCATGACAAAGAGCCAGAGAAAATTCACAGAGCTAAGAGATGCAGGCAGTGTCTTGTTGGCGGAAAAGCCAGGAGGCCAGAGTCTTTGGGTATTTCAGGTTGGGGAGTGAGGTATAAAAAACTGGAAAGGTGAGAGGAGGCTAAGTTGTGAAGGCCTTCGAATGCCAAACAGAGTGTTTTGTGTTTGATCCTGGAGGTGGTAGGGACCCACTAAAATTTATGGGAGATGGGAAGAGGCGACAGAAGTAGACCTTCACTTTAGAAAAACCACTTTAGTGGCTGAATGGAGGATGGGTTGGAGTGGGGAGAAACTTGAGGCGGACAGACCCATCAACAGCTGTTGCAGTAGTCCAGGGGTGAGGGGATGAGGGCCTGCACCAGAGGTGGGGCAGGATCAGAGGAGAGAAAGGAGCATAGTTGGGAGATGTTGCAGGAGTGAAATCAACAGATCTTGGCACCAGCTTGGATATGGGGGTTGAGAGAGAGTGAGGAGCCAGGATGACTCCTAAGTTTCGAGCCTGATGGACTGCGAGGGTGTTGCCCTCTACAGCAATAAGAAAGGTAGGAGGGGGGGAAATTTAGAAAGAGTAATGAGTTCATTTTTGTACATGCAGAGTTTAAAATGTCTGCTGGACATCCAGTTTGAGATGGATAAAGGGCTGTTGATGGTGCAAGACTAGAGGTCAGCAGAATGGTGGGGGCAGAATAGGTAGATTTGAGAACTATCAGCATAGAGATGGTAGTTAAATCAATGGGAGCTGATCAGATCAACTCTTGAGGCAGTGTATAGGGAGAAGAGAAGAGAGCCCAGGACACTTAGGGTTAGAGGGAGTGATCTGAAGGAAGATCCAGCAAAGTGATCAACTTTGGAGAGAGCAGTTTTGGTGGAATGCTGGACTGGAAGGGGTTAAAAAGAGAGGAGAGGAAAGCAATTGGAGGCACCTATTGTAGACAGTCTTTTCAAGGAGTTCAGCCACAAAGGGCAGAGCAGGTCTAGGACAATAGTTAATGGGGAAGGATCGAGTAAGGTTTTTTTGAGGATGGGGATGACATGGTGTGTTTGTAGGCAGTAGGGAAACAGCCAGTAGACAGACAGAAATTGAAGAGAAGTGAGACAATGGGGATAACAGAGAGGGCAATCTGTTGGAAGAGACAGGATGGAATGGGATCCCTTGAATAGGTAGAAGAGTTAGCCTTGGTAAGGAATAAGTCAGCTTCATCATGTGAAACGGGAGGAGGACAGAGGGGCAGAAGGTGTTTGAATGCTCAGCAGTGAGGAAGAGGGGAGAAGTGGGTGCTCACCGAAGATGGCCTCCTTTTTTTTCTGTAAAATATGAGGGGAGGTTCTCAGCTGAGAGCGTAGGGGGAGATTTCAGGAGAGATGAGAAGGTTTGGAAGTACGTGGGAAAGCGAGTTGATATAAGGGAGGTATAGCAGGATTGCCCAGCAGCAGTGAGAGCCCAGTGGAGGTTATATAACCAGTGTATACAGAACATAACTTCCCCGTAATTTACAGTCTTAGTTACCTGGGAACATTGAGAGAGAGGTTAAATGATTTGCTCAGAATCATACAGGCAGTCTAAGTGACAGAGGCAGCATTTGAACCCAGATCTTTCTCACTCCAAGGTCAGCTCAGGTATCTGTTGGGCAACCCCTACCTCTTTACCTTGACACATACTTGATTTCAAAATAACAAGAGAAAAGTTACAAAGTCGTAGTTGTCTTCCTGGTCTTCTGTGAGAAGGTATAAGATTCTTTTTCAGTGCTTAGCAAAGGGCCTTCAACTAGATCCTGACCCAGAATCAGCCAGGCCAGTCTTATATTGGTCTTACATCAGGCTCCTGGGTTTTTAGGACAAGGTAGATTTTATTTGGCAAGACTGCTAAGTGTCTCATCCCTCCTAGAAACTACTTCCTCACCATAACTCCTAGCTTTGGCACACTCCATCGTCTTGAAAAAGGACTCCTCCCTTGGGTTTTAAACTGCCCTCCCCTGACCTGGCACCTTCATTTTCTGGAAGATCTCGACATATTCCAAAAGTGGAAATCCTCTCTTGCCCTTGACCCATTGCTTTCTGTCCTGGTTTTCTCTCCCTAGAGAAAGTCATTGTTGTGGAGAAGAGAAAGGACCACATGGCTCAGAACCCCAAGGCAGGCTACTGCAGGGATTTAATTAAACTGTCTGGAAGGACTCCAGCCTTTCCGCCAAGTGCTGACCCTTCCTACCCTTGTCTCCGTCATCCATCTCCTCCAGCTCCCATCAAAGAAAATGTTCAGGCAAAGCCTGAGTAACCACCCCCTCCTTTCAAGTATCCCATAGAGAGAATTCCTGCAGGGAGCCCATGAGAGGTTGGAATCAATTACTTCTAAGATCTTTTCCAACAGAGATTATCTGAGTATAACTTTCTGGGATTTGTTTCTTCCTTAGCTCCTGGTATGTCCAACTTCTAAAGAGCAGCTATCTATAGCTAGGTGTGTCTCTCTCCCTCTTTCTACTGACCCCTTCTCATTTGTAACTGGGCCTGAGCAAATAACCTTATCACCTAATTCTACCTTGCTTTGAACCCTACTCCTGATGGGCCTGCCGTCTCTGTCTGTCTCTGTCTATCTGCCTCTCTTTACACACACACACTCCTAGAGAGAAGAAATCCAGGATGATTCCTTCATTGGCCAAGTTTATCTTTTCTTAATCTGTCTCAATCTCTTCAGATTTATGATGAAGAAATATTAAATGAACACTCACTATGAGCCAGAGCACTGTGCTAAGCCCTGAGGCTACGAAGAAAAGCAAAGATACAGCCCCTGTCCTCAAGGAGCTCACATTCTAATTCAGGGAGACAACTTGCAAAAAAAAAATATGCATTCCAGATCTATGTAATGTAAATGAGAGAGCATGTCAGAAGCAAGGCATTGGCGGTGTGGGGAGAGAGGTGAGACTAGAATGTGAGATTTGAGCCAAGTCTTAAAAGTAGCCAGTGAAGCTAGGGGGTGGAGGTGAGGAGGGGGAGTGTTATAGGCATGTGAGACAGACAGTGAGAAGTCAGGAAGGAAATGGAGTGTTATGTTCAAGGAACAGCAAGACCAGTGTAGCTAGCTTACAGAGGGGAGTAAAAGTTTAAGAAGGTTGGAAAGATAGGAAGGGGACAGATTGTGAAGGGCTTTATATGCCAAGCATTTTATATTTGAGCCAGGAGGTAATAGGGAGCTATTGGAACTTCTTGAATGAGGGAGCAGGGTGGTGATGGTATATGACACAATCAGGCCTTGGCATTAGGAAAATCACTTTGGCAGCTGTATGGAAGTGGTATTGGAGGGAGGAGAGACTTGAGGCAGAGACCAATCAGAAAGCTATTGCAAAAGTCTGGCCATGAGGGTATGAGGGACTGCACCCAAGTGACAACTGCGAGAAGAAAAGGGATGGAGAGGAAAAATATTGGAGCAAGTCGGGAGTTGAGGATGATCCCCAGGTTAGGAGCCTGGGTGATGAGGAGGATGGTGATGCTTTGGTCAGTAATCATTTAAGCCCTCTCATCCCTTACTCTCTTCTCTCAGACCTTCCACCCTCATTTTTGTCTCCTCTCCTTGCTTAGATCTCAAGCCTTCGGTGGACCCCACTCCAGTCCAGAACTGAGTTTTAGCTGAGCCCCTTATCTCACTTTGACCTTTGGTAAAGGTATTTCATCACTCCAGCCTTGAATTTCCTTCTGATTTCAATACTTGCGATCTGAGTTTGGTCGGTGTGGGTGGCTCTCTCCACCATTGCAGACTGCAACCCTTCTGTGATTTAGTAGAAAGCTGGTGTGGCTGAAAAATCCATCACCTGGTCTGTATTCAGCCAGGTAAGATGTCTCCCCTGAAGTAGTCCAGTCTTCAGACCACCACTGGAGCTCTACTTGGAGCCTTTCCAGCCTGGGGAGAGCTCATGCCCCAATGGCACAGCCTTCTTTTAGAGAGCCCAGCATTCTTTGCAGGAAGACTTCAACAGAAGTTTCTGGGGTAGGATAGGACTAATAATAACTGTTCTTTGTAGGGAGATCGTGATGATCCAGCAAGGTCAGGGAAGAAAGGAGAACCCAAACCCTAATCCTAAGTCCTCTCTCCTGAATCCCCCAATGCCCTAGTAGCTGGCCTTCCCTGTATGATCTTCCTTGCCTTCTTTTGCTAATGCCTATGCATTCATCCTTGGATACTTCAAAGGACCTTGGGAAGCCCCTGTAACCCAAAAACCTGCCTTTGCAGATCCCAGCCCCTCTACAATTAGTGGCCATTTGTCCCCACACATGCTTCATACCTGTAAGAAGAATGTTTGGACCCGGTGGACTCTTTGCTGATTTCCTGGTACCCTTGGACCACTGGGCAGCTCGCTGCTATCTGTCATCCTTACCCTCACCAAATGGCCAGCCTGCCTCCTCTTCCCTCGCGCATGTCTTCAACAATGACTTTCAGCTCACTTTTTTACTTGCAAGTAACACGGTGACATTTATAGAGCATCGACTGTAAGCCCTGCAGGGGTCTTGCATCCAGTTCAAGACAGGCCCATCGTGGTGGAGTGATTTGTCCAAGGTCACATGTGTTGCTTTATTCATTCAATAAACATTTATGGAGCATCTGCTATTTGCACACCCACACACACACACCCCTTTTCCCTCTTCCTTTCCAGTCTTTCTTCTGCATTTCCCTTCCTCGCCCACCTACAGTTTCCCCTCTTCATTATCTTTCCTCCACCCCGTTTTCCTCCTCCCCTCCCCCAGCGCCTCCTCTCCTGCTCATCCCTCCCTCCATCTGTCCCCCGCCTTCCCAGCACCCCAGCCCCGGAGGTCCCCACCGCTCGCTCTCCCTTCCCTCTGCCCCCTCCCGCCTCTGTCCTCGGTCCCCCGCCCCTTCGACTCCCTACTGGCCCGCCTGCAGCCGCCAGCCACCGCAGCGAGCGCTCGTTCGAGCCTTCCTCGGAACTGTCCGGACTGTCAGTGCGCAGCTCCGGCCGGCGGCTGCTCCTGGAGCCCGAGAGGGATCGAGGGATCGCGGGATCGCAGAATCGCGGGATCACAGAGGGCTCAGGCACAGCCAGGTGAGGCTGCTTGTGGTGGTGAGCACCCTACGGTGCCATAGGGGAGGGGGCCTCTTCTTTGGAGGGGGGATTCGGGAAGCCCTTTCCAGGAACGCAGAAAGAACGAAGGGTTTTTCGCTGAAAGCTTAGCTGGTGAAAGGTGGTGAGGTAGGAGAGAAGGGAAATGCTCTGGGCAGGAGAGGGTCCCAAGGTCCTCTCCTCTAGAGGGCTCCTTCCCTGGAAAGGGGGGCTATTAGTGGGGTGGGGGGCGCAGCGGACAGTCAATCAAGGGCTTTTATTCTCCAGGGATAAGAGAGAGGGCTTGGGGCCCCAAGGGGTGGCATGCACAGGTAAGAGGGGGAACCGCTGGAGCCATCAGGGTTGGAGATGGGGCTGGGGTAGGAAGAGACCTGGGGTAGAGAGTCTAGGACCACACTTTGCTCAGGCTTCAGTGAGCTAGAGTGGGGGGGGGGGGCGCTGTCTGCCTCGGGCTCAGCTTGCTGCATTTTCCATTCCTTAGTGTTGTCTGTTGGAGCTGCTAGCTCTGGTTTCTCTCCCTGTCCCAGTTTCCTCTCTTTTATTGTCTTCTATTTCAGGCCCCACCTGGTAAGTGAAGGGAACAGCCTTTTAACTCACAGTCCAGCGCTGCCTCACATCTGTCCTAGGATAGCACCCACTGGGCCTTGGAGGGGTTGAGCTCAGAATTTGGTAGCTCCAGATGGCACGGGACATGCTGGCTGATGGAAGGTGGAAGGGCATGCAGAGATTGATTCCACCCCCTCTAAAACCCCCATCCTCTCCCCTCCCCTCCTACAGAAGCTGCCACACTGGATGGAGGATGGTGGATGAGAAGGGTCTCAAACTAGCCGCACCATGAATATGGGAAGAATCAGGAAGAGGACCCTGGGTGGGGGGATAGGGGAGATGAGAGATCAGGAAGAGGCTACTGCTGGTATCAGAGTGTTTGATAGAAGAGAATGGAGTGGAGCGGAGTGGAAAGGACCCTGAGTTCTGGCCCTGGCTTTGCCATTAGCTAGTCGTGTTACCTTGGGTAGGTCATTTCCCTTCCTTTCCACTTCCACATTGATAAAATGAAGAGTTGGACTGGCTGATCTGTGAGGTTCCACCCACTCAGAATCCTCTAAAAATAGAACGTGGAGGGGCTGGGCAGAGCAGAGCAGTTTCCCTGTTCCTTAGGGTGAAAATGTTGCATTTGGGGTATTTTGTTTGTTTTTTACAAAGGGTTCCACCACTCTAGCTACTTCACATCAGGCACTTGGATCCACTTGTCTTCCCTCCAGTGTGCAAAAGGAGAAACTGAGTCTGAATAGACAGCTGCGATTTGCTCCAGCTCCATCCTCCCTGGAATTTCTAAGTGACAGCATCCCTCTTCATCTGGGGCTGCACTGGAGAGGAGCAACGTAAGCAGGGAAAAGACCTGGCCAGAGCCAAGAAGGGAGCTGGGGGGCTGTGGAAGGGGAGGAATCGTCATGCAAATGACGGGGATGAGGCTAAAGGGGAGGCAGTGATGGGAAGAGAGCTATCAGGCTACTCAGTTCAGGGGCAGGGATCAGAGCAGCTGGAGTTAGAGAAGAGACCAGGACAGGTAAGGCCAGTGAACTGGCTTCACTCCCTTCCTAGCTTACCCTCTGGTCTGAGCTTGGAGCTCTTTGCTGATGGCCTGTGGTCCCTTTTGCTCCTAAGTTCCCTACTGTAATCTATTCCCAGGCCTGCCTCAACTCCTGTTGGGCCTTGGAAAGCTCCTAGGAACCTGGGAGATGCCAGCTGGGAGAATAGGCAGGCACGCAGTCAGCCCCTAGCCCTGGGCTCCAGAATAAGGCCTTAGACCACCTAGTGACTTGCTGCACAGTGTGTCTAAAGACCCAAGCCCTACCTGCCCCCCCCATCCCCAAAGGGTGATTCTTTTGGTTCCCACCAGGCTTCCATCCAGGTTACATGGTCTGTTACCCAGAGTGCCTTGCGCTATACTATGTATTAGGCATGACATTATGACACTATGTCTTATACAGTATGTATATATGATAAGCAGGAGTCCTAAGCCAAGTCCCAGCCTCTCAGTTATTGTACGCTATACTGTGTCTGCGCTCTGGGACCCTCTCGGACTTTGTGTCTTGTAGTCGGGGCTGACTTTATAAGTAGGTAGTCATGTGGCATAATCTGAGGATACCCAGAAAAGCTCCTCCATTAAAGAAATATCTCCAGAGATTCATTCCTTGAGGGTGGACATGGTCTTCTCCAGACTTTTGTATTTAAATGCCAATCTCCCAGGGTATCATTAAGTTCAGACTTTAGAGTGAATAAGTTTATCGCAGTTTTTAGTTGAGACCTGAGGCCTGGGCTGCCAACACAGTACCAAGTACATGTGAACCAGGATTTGGGTGTAGGTGGGCCACGGAAGACCAGCTGAATCCTTTATCACCCACCAGGCCTGTTCACAGATGATGACGTCACCGATTTTGAGTGTGAAGGGACTTTGAGAGATAATGTTGTCCAAAGTGCTCATTATATAGAGGAACTGCCCAAGCCCAGAGAGGGACTCTGCTTCTAGAGTGTCCCCTACCATATTACAGGCCTAGCTTTCCCTCTCAGCAGCCCCTCCTGACTCTGCCAGCATTTCCTCAGCCTCTAGCCCCAAGGCTGGCACAGAGTGGAGCAGGCTAAAAAAAGGGGAGGGCCCTTCAGCCTATCATTCTGCCTTTCACTTGAAGCCAAGCTGCACAGGCCTTCCTGAAGGGCCTTCCTTCCCTTCCCTTGCAGAGGCCATGTCACTGATGACCACTGGGCTTCTGCTGAGCCTGCTTGGCCCTGTGGCCTGCTGGGCACTGGGTTCAGGTTCTGAGCTGCGCTCAGCCTTCTCCGTGGCCCGGACCACCAGCCTGGAGGGTACGACGGAGATGGCAGTGACCTTTGACAAGGTCTATGTCAACATCGGAGGTGACTTTGACCCTGGGACAGGCCTGTTTCGCTGCCGAGTTCCAGGGGCCTACTACTTCTCCTTCACTGTGGGTAAATACCCTCAGAAGAGCCTGTCAGTGATGCTGGTGAGGAACAGGAATGAGGTGCAGGCCCTGGCTTTTGATGAACAGCAGCGGCCTGAGCGCAAGGCAGCCAGCCAGAGCGCCATGCTGCAGCTGGACTATGGGGACACGGTCTGGCTGCGCCTCCATGGGGACCCCCAGTATGCACTCTATGGTTCAGCAGGGGGGCCCTGCACCACCTTCAGTGGCTACCTCATCTATCCAGACACCTCCTCCTACTTCCATAGCCACCAGGGCCTCCCTGCCCAGCTGCCTGGAGCCCGGGCAGCAGAGCCTGAACCCGATCCCCGCTCTGCCTTCTCCGCGGCCCGCTCTGAGAGCCTGGTAGGGATTGATGAAGCGCCTTCTGTCAGACACAGGCCACTCACCTTTGACACGGAATTCGTCAACATCGGAGGGGACTTCGATGCCGCTTCAGGGATCTTCCGCTGCCGCCTGCCTGGCGCCTACTACTTCTCCTTCACCATCGGCAAGATGCCTCACAAGATGTTGTCAGTGAAGCTGATGAAGAATCGGGACGAGGTACAAGCCATGATCTACGACGACAGTCCCTCGAGGCGGCGGGAGATGCAGAGCCAGAGTGTGATGCTGGCCCTGAAACCTGGGGACACTGTCTGGCTCCACAGTCACCAGCATGAGGGCTATGGAGCCTACAGTAATCACGGCAAGTACATCACTTTCACTGGCTTCCTGGTCTACCCAGACATCCCTCCAGGCCAATTCAGCCCCCTGGACCCCTGATCCATTCTCCAAAGGGGGCCTGTGGAGACAGAAGACCCAACTGGGTATGGGAGGGGGAGGGATGCATGCTGTGTATACGTGTGTCTGTCTTTCGTGCCCCAGTGGGCTCAACTGACATGTCTGTGTCACTGTGTCAGCATGAAGGCTGGAAATGCTGCAGGAGCCATTCAGTGGGGATGGGGTCTGCACTTGGGCCAATAAAGCAGCAGGGCTCCAAATGCCTCCAGCTGCCAAGATCTGAGCTGGAACTCTCTGTCTCAGCATGGACTGATTGGGTTCTGCCCTGAAGTGAGGTGGGGCAGGGGTGGGAAAGATAACATTGTGGTCTGTGTCTGGGTGGGGGTCAGCCACGCTCAGGAAAGAATCACTTAATCCACAAGCATTTATTAAGTGCCCAGAATGGTGCTAGACGCCAGCAATATAAAGACAGAGAAACTCTGTTTATGTTATAGGCCAAATCCTCTAAGTGGAAAAGAGATACTTTGGGGGGCAGTTGGTGGTACAGTGGATACAGCACAGGCTCTGGAGTCAGGAGGACCTGAGTTCAAATCCAGCCTCAGAAACTTACTAGTTGTGTGACCCTGGGCAAGTCACTTAACCCCTAAAGAAAAAAAAGGCAGTGCATAGAGATGCTAGTTGCAACTCAGCCCCTGTGCCCTAACTTGCCTTCTCATCTGACCCGACTTCTGTTTTAACCCCCTGTTTAGGCGTCTGACCTCATCATCTAAGCCTGATGGTCTGACTTCCCCATATGGTTCCTGGGCTCTGACCCTGGCCCAATGATACCCCTCTCCCAGTCTGATGCTGACTCCCTGACGTCCCTGACTCCCCTCTAACTGGATTCCCTACCTGAACCTCTTCATCCCCACTCCTCCATGCTCTCCTCTCTCTTCAGCCAGATATACTCCTTGGTGAACCTCCCTAGCTCACCTCCTCCTACTTTTGGCCCAACCCTCCTTCCACGTGCCCATTTCGTTAGATCCCTTTAACTGACCCAATGTCTACGTCGGGACTTTCTTCTATCATACCCACCACCCAACCCTCCCTCGAATCTCTGATTCCTTTTCATGGCATTGAAGAGGATGGTTTATAGGACGTAGGAGAATGTGAGCTTTAACATGGGCTGATGCTGAGAACAGCCACTTGCTCTGACATGGACGAACTGGTTCGAGGAATGAATAGAGGAGGAAAGGGGACATCACCATGCCCATAGCAAAACGTTACCACAGAGCAGATCTGCAGAGTACGTTAGGGGAAGGTTGGCAGGGACATGAGGTTACGGTTGCTCTTTAGGCCAGGACCCTAGGAGCCTGGGAGGACAGAAAAGGGGGTGGGAGGCTTAGGTGGCTCAGCAGTCCAGATTCTGCTCCTCACAACGCTCATGTCCAACATGAAATTTCCCAAAAGGAGGATAAGTCTAGATACCTCCTTCCCCACCGCCATTATAGCTCGGTTCCTTGAGAGTCCCATTCTGACCTCTGGCAGTCGACCCAGGACTTGGCAATAACCAAGTGACTCTCAAGAAGAGCTTGGCTTTGCTTCTCAGCGTCTGCCTCAGTTCTCCCAGGAAGGTGGGATGGTCTCGTTAGAATGGCGGGAGCAGCATGCCCTGCTGATGCTTGCCTTACCTGTGCACAGGGCCCCGTCCCCCCTCATCATTCCCACATCAGATCTCACTGACGTTCAGCAAGCTTCCTGGCTCCTCCCTCCAAACCTCCTTCACTTAATCCTATTGCTGAAAGACTTTTCAGGAAGCTATGGGATTGGGAGTTGGGATTATGGTTAAAATTGTGATTTCAAAGTCAAGGTCAAGTCTAGGGTTGGGAAAAGTTCTTTTTCTATCCCCAGCCTTGCCAGTCAGTCAGGGGGCCCCTGGAGGATTACTGATGACTCCACAATTCTCTCAGTCAGTCAGTCAATAAACATTTTTTTAAGTGCCTACTATGTGCCATGCACTGCGAAGTGCTGCCCAGGGAAGACCGGACACCACATCCCCTAGTTCCAGCTCTGCGATTGTTCTTAGGACTGCTACTCTCATATAAATATGTATGTGTGTATGTGTACATGCATATATATTGCCCAAGCTGTGACCCCGTGCCGAGCCATAGGATTTAGAGCTGAAAGAGACATTAGAAATCATCGAGGTCAACTCTCATTTTACAGGTGAGGCAACTGATGACCAGAGCGCCTAGGGGACTTCCCCTGTGCTTCCTGGGGACCACGGGTCTGAGAAAGAGGCAAGAGCAGGAGAGAGAAGAGCTGAACCCCCCAGGGCAGGGGGGCTCCCCGAGGTGGAGGGGCGGGAGCTGGAAAGAAGCAGGAGATGCCCACTGCCCAGGGCAGGGCTTAGGGGTCACTGGGGAAGGCCCAAGGACTCAGCAAGGGGGTCTGGCCCTGGGGACAGTGGTCCTTGCACAGGTCCTGGAGGATTTCCTGTCCCAAAAGGGAGAAGAGCTCAGCCCAGCCAGCCCTCTCCTCTCCCTCGAGAGCTGCATGAAGGCGATAGATGCAGGCCACGCCAGTGAGCATCAGTTGCCGGAAGCTTGAGGGGCTCAGGGGGGTGGCCTGGTGCCACTGCCCCAGCTGCTGCTCAGTGCCAGCCAAGGTGCTGGGGACCCAGCGCCGGAGGAAGAGGACGAGGCGTCGGCCAGGGCGCGTTGACGCCAGCTCCTCATCCCGGACGCTGAACTGTCCTGTGGTGTCCAGCTTCAGCCCTGTCCACAGGAGCTAAAGAGAAAGAGGGACTTGAGGGAGGGGAGGGGAGCCAGGGGGAGAAATAATGGTCTAGGACACAGATTAGCCAGGGTAAACATGGCCCCAGTATCAGGACTGGAATAGGGGATGTGTGGGTCTTGGGAAACAGGATGGACAGGGCTTTGGCAAGGAGGTGTTATAGGTCAGTTGGGAGGGGACCTCAAGGCAGAAGGTTGAATAATGGGACGCCCTCAGCAGAATGTGGCTCTCCCAGGGCTTAGGGACCTCTGTTATTCTCCCCACCCCAGAGTCAGGCCTTAAGTTCCTTCCTCAACCCATCCCACCACCACCCAGCAAGTCCTGGCCCTGGTCAGTGACCTCAAACACCACGTCCAGGTGCTCTGGCTCCGGGGGAACACCGCCCACACCAGCACTGTCCATAGGCTGTCCTGGAGAACCAGAGACAGGTTTCAGGGCCTCCTCCCCCTTCTTCTCCAGCCACACCCCTCGATATAAGCATCTATCCATAGTACAGGAAGCCACTAACACAGTGGAGATATCCCAGACACCCTGGCCCTTTAGCTGCCTTGTTCTAGGGCACATGAAAAGATCACAGGATCATGGATCTAGACCAGGAAGGGACCTTAAAGATCATTGAGTTAAATCCCCTCATTTCACAGGTGAGGAAACTGAGGAACAGAGATTGGAAGCAATTTGCCTGGGGTCACTCAGTGACAGAATTGGAATTCTGAACTCAGGCCTCCAGCCTCCAAATAAATCCATTGCTTTTCCCTAACCTTCACTCAAAGGAAAGAGCCTAATGCAAGCATAGACTGTGTCCTATTTGCCCCGCCACACCCCACTCAAGCTCCTGTTTCTGGGAGCCGAGCTCAGTCTTAACCTACTCCTCCTTTCTGTAATATGCCCAGTCAAGCTCTTTGGGCTCCTCCACCCCAGCCTTGCATTTGGGGAGGGACTGTCCAATCGTTGACCCTAGCACATGATTCCCCCCCCCCCCAGCCAGTAGCTTGTCTGGGACCAGCAGGATCCTTTTCCACCGAAGAAACAGTTTCCTAGGCTTTGTCTGGGACAGAGGATCCTTTTTGGGTAGGGAGGACGTGGCTGGAATAGGGTATCCCAGGACAACTCCCAGGACAGGGAAGATATAGCCATCTCACACCACTGACAGGATAAGAGCATTGCTCCAAACTCCCTTGGTACCTTACTGGCAGGTGGCCTGAAAGCACTGGCTTTCAGGGAGAGAAAGGCAACGGACAGTTCTCTGGGTCATCACCACCCAGGTCAGGCCCTCACTGCTCCCTTGATCAAGATAAGGGAAAGCTATCATGGCATCTATTTAATGCAGGCCTCTTTCAGCTCTAGCTGAGCCCTTCCTATCTGGGAGGCTGAAAGAGGCCTTTCTGTGGCCTGGAGTCAGAGGAACTTTCTGGTATCTTCCTCTGTTAAGCCCAGTATTGTCCAGGGCTTGGGCACACCTTGGGGGGAGGTAAGAATAAGCAAGCATCATCGCATCTACCAGCACCCTGATAGCCTCCTACGCCCTTCCACTGTCCAAGAGCAGGGCCCATGGGTCTGGCACCACAACCCCGAGGCTGCCCCCTTGGATTTAGAGGAGCCCTGCCTTTCTTTTGCTCCTCTTTCATTGATCTTACCTGTGTGCCATCGAGATGCAGCCCCCACAGGAAGGGAGAGGCACAGGATTGCCCAAAGCCAGCTTCGGAGCTGCAGATCCAGGGCCATGCCACGTACAATGCTGTCTGACTTCCCCAGCTTCCTAGCTTTCCCGTCTCCACCACAGCTCCAACTTTCCACTGGAACCGGTTCTTCCTCACTCTCCCATCTGCCTCCAATGTAGAGCAGGGTGGGGCTGGCTGCAGTCTCCACTGCTTCCCAGGGGGACTTCTCATCCCCTGAATTTGGGGAATTTGCTTTTTCTGGCACTCAGAGCCCCATTTCCCTCTGCTTATGCCCAGCTGGCTAATAAGAACGTCTGCTAATAAGAACAAGGCGTTTGGTAGCAAATGCTTACTGACACTCCCCTAGGGGTGTGTCCATGCCTGGGTCCTGTGACCCCACAATACTTTTTGTGCTCACTCTGAAAACATCCTACAACTGGTCATCACTGTCCACCAAACACAGCCAACGCCTCTGGGATTTTTTTAGCAGCCAAGACCAACAGTTAGTTACTCAGAGGGTGGGCTTTGTGCTAATTACATAAGTTTAGACACCATCTCAAACTCCCTATGATTCTCTCTGGGGAAGGCTGACCCCTGGCTGCAGGCTCTCCAAACACCCATACCCTGGGACTCTTCTTTAGCCCCTCAAAATCTTTCTCAGTGAAGTTCTGAAGGTCTGGCAAGCCCCGAGACCCATTCAGCTGTCAGGATAGCCTCACTGAACAGGAATGTGTGTTCAGTTCCCTAAAAGGGAGAAAGCGCTCCTGTCTATCATCACGTCTGCAGAATGAAAGAAAGGGTGGGTGGGACATGTTTCTCTTGGACCTAAACAAGGTAGTTTACCAGCCAAAACCTGTAACTCAGAACTGCTCGGTCCTTGGAGACAAATCACTCAAGTCAGAGCCAGTTCTGGGGTCTACCCAGACCAGTCACAGCGACCTTAGTCAATGCTAGTCCACTCTGGCTCATCTCCAGAACACAACCAAACCTTGCCTGGCCCATGGCCGACTGAACCAGGCCTGGATCCTGCTGGACCCTTGGTGCATGGCTGGCTCATTTCCACCTGCTGAGACGGACTCCCAGCTCTGTTGCTTCTTCACGTGCATCATTCTCTAAACAAAGGACACCAGAAGGTTCCCCTGGGCCTTCATATGTACCAACGAAGAGGAAGCTGCAAGTCCAGGTACAAGACTTTATTTACATAAATATTCAGTTACAAGGCAGGCTCTGCTCTTGCCAGAAGCTATTTTGCTTCGGGTTTCTTATCTCCAGCCTCGAGTTTGGGGCTCTCAGGAGGCGGGCGAAAGGCAGGGAAAGTCTCCCAGGGGCTGTTCAGATCAAACTTCCGGAACTCCTGGGCCAGCTCCACTGGCTCTGCCACAACTCGCTTCACCTCATCATCGTATCGGACCTGCAGAGAGCAAAAGGCCAGGGGCAAGCTGGGGGTGCGGCCACCTTGCCCAGGGTCACTTAGCCACAGGTGTAGCCCTGCTTCAGCTTTTAAGATCCAGAAGCCAATTCTTCACTGATCCCTACCCTCTCCTTTCATCCTCTGTCCATGTCAATGACCAACAAGGTACCAGGCTGTGCTAAGACTAATGCCTGCCTGGCATCTCCAATAGCACTCTGCAAGGTCAATGACACCATGGGTCTTTATGCTTCAGTGGATGTGGGACTGAAAACTAGGCAACCACGCTGAAGATCCTTCACATGATGGACACAGTGCTTGACGTGGACAAGTACACCTGCCACGGATGATCTCCTCTGGCCCTCACTACAACTCAGCGTGGGAAGGATTCTTATTATCTCCATCTGACAGAGGAGGTAACAGACGGGTTGATGCCGTTGCTTGGGGTCCTGGAGCTAGGTAATGTCAAAGAATAAATATGAACGCAGGTCTCCTTTAGCCCAATAGGCAAATGATACTACCAGCCACCTCCACGGGGGAGATGCTCCAATTTCTCTTGCTGTGCCGGAGGACTTGGGTTAACCTATCTAACACTCTCTTGCCTAGGCCCTTTTGTAACCAAACCCAACCTTCCTTTCTGGCTTCTCCGTACAAAACTCCTACAGTGTACTCCAAAATCCAGCCAAAAAGCCTCCTTCCCATTCCCCACTCCCTCTCCTGTCTCCGAGCCTTTGCACTGGCCACCCCCCAGCCCAGGACTGCACTACCTTCTTATCCCTGATGCTCAGAATGCTTCTTTTCTTTTAAAACACAGTTCATGCACCACTTTCTACATGAAAGCCTTTCCTGACCTTCCCATCCCCTGGCTCTTTACTCTCAAACGCTAATGTAGTTAAATACTTTGTATTTATTCTTTTTCTACTTATTCAGTTTATACTTATATGTGTTATGTCTCTCCATTTGAAGCTAAACTCCTTGAGAAGAGATTGTTTCATTCTTGGTATGGGCATCCTAGTATAGTGTTCGGCACACTGTAGGCAGTTAACAAATACCTGCTGATTCACTGACTGTGTCTAAGTTATATCCCTCCAGTGGGATGTAAGCTCCTTGAGGGACCATTTCATCTTTTGTCTTGCCATTCCTGTGCCTACCACAGTGCCCGGCCCACACTTAAGAAAGATCTGTTGTACATGGCTGATATAACAGAGCCAGCGAAGTTGGTTTGCATTGCTAGCCTACATCCATATAACCCACTAGGTGGCAACACAACAGGTGTGGGTTCTAGGGTATGGAGTCTCCACCAGGGCAGATGACTAATGCCAGAGTCTGACTACTCCTCCTGCCCTCAGTAGCCTCAACAGAGAAATACAGGGTAGAAAAGATTAGCTTTGGAGCCATAGGCCTGAGTTCAAAACCCAGCAGCTCTGCCTGGGGGACTAAGGCTAGGTCAAATGACTTCTCTGGGCCTCAGTTTCCTCTTCTGTAAAATGAGGGGATTCAACCAGATGGTCTGTGAGGTCTCTCCTGAAGCCAGGCTGGAAATGACCTTTGCTTGGGAGGGTTCAATACCGGGGGGGGGGGGGTGAGAGAGAAGCAGGGAATGATTGGTAAGTAGAAAATGGAAGACCAGGGGCAGCCAGGTGGGGCAGTGGTTAATGTCTTCTAGGCTTGACAGATCATAGAATCACAAATGACTAAACCCAGGTTCCCTGTACCTCTACATATCCAGAGAGGGGGAAGTCCTTCCGGAAAGGATGTCCTTCAAACCCGTAGTCTGTCAGGATCCTTCTGAGGTCGGGGTGATTGGCAAAGTAGACTCCAAACATGTCCCAGACCTACAAGAAATGAAATCCAGACACCAGGTTCACACTGCCTGCAGTGTCTTTGCTTAGGGTTCATGTTCACACTAGAGGAACTCACCTCCCTTTCATACCAATTTGCAGCTTTGTGCACCGAGACTACTGAATCAACAGGAGTCAACTCATCTGCATATGTCTTCACTCGGATCCGAGTATTGAAGCGCAGAGAAAGCAGGTTATAAACAATCTAAAACAGAAACAGAAAGGAAAAAGCGAATTGGGTTCCACTGGGGGCTCCAGCAAGAGCAATGAGGTTGAAACTGGATAAGCGTGTGGAATAATGGGGTCATAATATTTTCATTTCCAATGTGCCCTCCTTCCCTGTTCAAGCCCCAAACCTCCAGGCATTCAGCTGCATCTGAATTCCCAAGTGCAAGCGTGGCATGGTATACCTTATCTGCCTATACTCAGAGTGGCTATAGTCTCCCTAAGCTCAAACAAAAGCAACTGTGGGAGACCCAGCTCTTGAGAGCTCTTAGCAATTCCTCAATCCTGTCCTACAGTAGGTGGTGCTACTCCCAACCTTGCTCATGGTTACTATGAGGCACCCATATCTATCCAGGCCAGCATCCAGAAGTAACTGTTCCATGAGACAAGTCTGATTTTAGGATGTGACCCTAGTACCCTTAAGAGATGCATACTATACAGAATGACTTCAGTAAACTCCACGGCAGTTCTAAGTCTACAGGGACAGGTTCTGTTGCTTCAAAAAGCTCCTGATTTTAGGATGAGTAAAACCACAATAATGTAATAGAGGCCTAGTCTGCCAACATTTCAGGAACAGAAGTAAGAAGGTCGGTGGCATTTTCTAGCACATGTTCTATGGTGGGCATATTTTGCCTCCTATGTTGTCCAACACTCCCCTAATTCAAGTCCTATTCTGATGCCTCTTTGGGGCAAGGAAGTGACTTTGCTTTCGCAAAGCGTCATCCAAAGACTGACCGGGCTAAGTCTGAGGAGGCTCATCTCCAGGACACTGGCCACTACCTTGTGGTGGCTACCACCACTCACAGCACTGTTTCCTAAAGCATGGAGGGGCTGTGGTCTGTGCTGATGGAGGAAGTGCACACCAAGAAACAATCACAAGTCCTTGAGTGAAGTAATACATAATAATGCCACAGTGACAGGGATAACGCTCACAGTTTTCAAAAAGCTTTCACAAACACAAGGAGACCATCCATCTCTTCTTTTAACTCCCCAAGCTTCTTGATTCTCCCCACTTACCTCAAAACGGTTCTGTCGGGTTGGGACATCGACTGCTCCCAAGTCAGCCAAGGACTTGAACTGGGCATTGGTGTGATCTCTGAGGAACGTCAGCACAGGGAGGACTCCGTCGGGATGGATACAGATCTCTAGTTCATTGAAGCATGACACCTACAAAGCAAGCAAAGGGAATCCAGAGCTGCTGGAAGGAGGCTACAATGGGGCTTAAGGCATTCCATCTGTGGCAGAGCAGGCACAAGTCTGGAATGAGCATGTTGCGATCCACCAAGTCAAGGAAAAGTCACTGCTCAAGCGCTTACTATTTGCTAAGTCCCCTGCTAAAGTGGGAGTGACAAACATGCAATGCTTCCCTAGCTCAGGCCTCAGCCACTGACCCTGAGGAGGTACTGACCCACAGCCCAATAACTCTACTGGCCACGAAAATCATCTATGCTGAGTAGCCACACCTGAACTTGCTGGATGTATTTGGGTAAGATCTCAGCCACATATTCTCCAAAAGCAGAGAGCTGCTTATGGGTCACTTCGTCCCACTGTTTAACTGTAGCTGAAAAGAAAAAAAAAGAAATCACATTTTACAGAGGGCAAATGGAAAGGGAATGCATGCAGAGAAGGAAGAACACAGGCTAGCTATGGCATTTAAGGCCTTACTTGGAGCCTTCTTAGCAATAATTCAGAAGAATCCCTGAAAGTCTCAAGACTTGGCCCTTGGGAGTCAGGAAAATCACACTGCATCCCAGAAGGCATTACCATGAAATGAACACAGTGGCAATGCTTAGGCTGGAAAGCAATTCAATGAAAAGATTTATAGGATTTAGTCTGGGACATGAGGTTGAGGCCAAGGAAATTAAATGACTTGTCCAAAGTCACCCAGAAAGTTAAATCCCCTGTTGGTCCTGTGATTTAAAATCTAGTGGTCTTTCTACAACAAAGTCTTTTTTTTTTTTTTGCAATTGGGGTTAAGTGACTTGCTCAGGGTCACACAGCTAGTAAGTGTCAAGTGTTTGGTCTGAGGCTGGATTTGAACTCAGGTCCTGTGTTCTATCCATTGCACCATCTAGCTGCTCCCAAGAAAGTCTTGTTAAAAGCCTTCCCTTTCAAGAAACCTTTCTCGATTAACACAGATGAATGTCTTCTCTTCATAAATCCCACAGCTCTGGTGAATGAATCAAGAGCTAACCTCCTCCTCAAGGCGCTATGATAGGGCATCATAAAGAACCATCAACGTAAACTTCCAGGCTTGGATTCAAGTCTCGGCGCTGTGAACAGTCCTGGGGTCTTGGGAAACTGCATCATTGGGGCCTCAGCTATTCACTGCCAAAGGGAAAGGCTTAGGACTGTATGTCCTTCAAAGGCTTCTCTTAGGGCAGTCAACAAGCATTTACTTAATGCTTACAATGTGGCAGGCACTGTGCTAAGGGCTAAGCACAGAGTCACTGATTCAGGGAAGTAAAGGTTCTTGAAAAGACAGCAGTGGGGTGGAGCAGTAGATAGAGCACTGGGTGGATCTGAGTTCAAATCCAGCCTCAGACACTTAATAACTGTGGGACTATGGGTAAGTCATTTAACCCTTGTTTTTGAGGTTAATTTTTAAGTTAATGGAAGCAAATGCCTCAATTCCCCATGGTAAATTGGGGACACACTGGAGAAGAAAATGGCAAACCACTCTGGTAACTCTGGCAAGAAAACCCTACGGCCTTTGTCAGACATAACTCAACAACAGTTCAAACCACTCGTTTTTTTAAAACAGTTACGGAAACAGGCCTGGAGAGGTTAGATGCCTCTCCCACAGGTCACACAGATGGGTCAGTGGTGGAGAAAGGATTTGAACTCAAGTCCTACGACTGCAAATTCAACACTCCTCCCACTGCGGAGGTACCCGTAATAACGATAACTAGCATTTACTTAGAACTTTACAGATATCATCTCACTCGGTTCCCTCCACAGCCCTGGGAGGAAAATGCCGTTATTCTCCCCCATTTTACGGACGAGGTCGCCTAGGCGGACCGAGGCGCAGTGACTGGCCCGGGGTCCCGCGGCTGGAGAAGGCTCGAGGCGGCGTCTGGGCCGATCCTGGTTCTCGGTCCGTCCTCGCCGCGTGTAGTCGAGCCTGGGGGTCCGCCGGCTTCCGGCCCCGGCCCGTCGGAGCCCCGGCCGCCCAGACACGGGCACCGGCGCAGCGGGGGGCGGGGCCAGGCTCCTTCCCTCCCCCCCACTTCCCCCTCACCCCGCGCCTCAGTTTCCCTCTGCAGGGCAGGGGCGCTACTCACGCTGCTGGCTTCCGGCCGCCGCCGCCCCGGCCTGGTCGCGGGCCCCCGGGCCGCTCTCCCTCCGCACAGGCACCAGGGCCCCGGCGCGCGCCGCCCCTGCAAGCACAGACGCGGCCTCAGCGAGGCCCCAGGCGACCCCGGGCGTCCCCCGGCCCCGGCCGCGCCCCGGCCGCCCCCCCCCGCTCACCCCGCGCCCGCGCTCCGGCCGCCCCCACGAGCCCCCGCAGCAGCCCCCCGGCCGCCGCCGCCGCCATCATGTCCCCAGGACGCCGAGCCCCAGAACGAGCGGAGGAGACGAGACAGGGCACGGAGCGCCAAGGGCACGGACCGGAAGCGGAAGGGCTCGGCGGGCGCAGGATCCGGGGGGGGGGACACGCGGGCGCCGAACCAGAGGTTCCGGGGTACGGGATGAGAGCGGGAGGCGCAGGTGAGCGAGCGAGGGCGAGGCGGAGCTGCTACGGGCGAGGTGGAGGAGGGGGGGAGGCCGGGGAGGCCCCCACCTCCGGCCCGGCGGCCCCGGGGCGGTGTCACGCTCTGGCTTCGGGGGAGAGCGAGAGGTCTGGGTCGGCAGGCCGGGGAAGCAGTGCTGACAGATGGGAGGGGAGCGCAGGGGCGGGGGCCGGGCCGGGGGCGGAGGGGGCCCCCCGCGAGGCGCTTAAAGGCCCGCAGCTGCAGCCCCGCCCCCGCCCGTGGCCCGGCTCCCTTTAAGCCGGCACGTTCGGGCCGCCCATCCTGGCGCCTTTGCTTTGCAGACGGCCCGAGCTGAGAGCAGCCCGCCGCGATGGAGTCGCCCGAGGAGCCCGGGGCCTCGACGGAGGAGAACTACTTCGTGAACTACACGTTCAAGGACCGCTCGCACTCGGGCCGCGTGGCCCAGGGCATCATGAAGCTGTGCCTGGAGGAAGAGCTCTTCGCCGACGTCACCATTTCGGTGGAAGGCCGCGAGTTCCAGCTGCACAGGCTGGTCCTGTCGGCCCAGAGCTGCTTCTTCAGGTCCATGTTCACGTCCAACCTGCGGGAAGCGCACAACCGCGTGATCGTGCTGCAGGACGTCAGCGAGTCGGTCTTCCAGCTCCTGGTGGATTACATCTACCACGGCACGGTGAAGCTGCGCGCCGACGAGCTGCAGGAGATCTACGAGGTCTCCGACATGTACCAGCTCACCTCCCTGTTCGAGGAGTGCTCCCGCTTTCTGGCCCGGACCGTGCAGGTGGGAAACTGCCTGCAGGTGATGTGGCTGGCCGATCGGCACAGCGACGCCGAGCTCTACGCCGCGGCCAAGCACTGCGCCAAGACCCACCTCGCCCAGCTGCAGGACACCGAGGAGTTTCTTCATCTGCCCCATCACTTGCTCACAGACATCATCAAAGGTAAGCTCGGGGAGGGTACGCGGCGAGGAAGACCCGATACTTAAAATGACTTTGTTCCCGTCCACCCGCTGTACAGTTGGAAACTAGCCAGAGCCGGGGACCCAGCAGATGCTTGGGGAAGAACATCTTTACGTGGGGATCTGGCTTATGCACGTAGGTGCTGGTCTGCCATATGCCTGGAAGGCCCTGTGGATCTGGCTGTGTTTGAATGTTTAGTATAAGTTATCAAACTACTGAAATGAAAAATTTAAGAATTAATTGGCTTTGGGTGGACACGCTGGTTCTTGGAGATAAAACGGAAACCTTGCTTTGCATGTTCACGATTAGAAGTGGGAACGTTAGGTGGAAGACTAGGGCATGAAAACCCATACTTTTAGCATACAAGGTTGACTTAATTATAGGCTGGATTTTTTTCCTCCTAAGAAGAAGGTAGGTAAATGTTGTGGTTAGTGTCACTGACGCTTCTGGCTGTAACTTATGGAATGATTGTGCCAGCCTTCTTCCTCTGCTCCACCCCCCACCCCAGATGGAGTACCACGTTCCCAGAACCCTTCGGAGGCAATAGAAACCTGGGTCAACTTCAACAAAGAAGAGCGAGAGAGTTTTTCAGAATCACTCAGGTCCAGCTTAAAGGTATGAAATCCCTAAGAGACCTACCATAATAATCCCCACATACTTCAGTTCCCCTGGCCTCCCTAATGTAGACAATAAGGACAAGGAAAGCCTGGCTTTAAGGATTGTAGTAGGAGATTGCCCAGGAGAATGTGTTTATTGTCCCAGATGGATAAAAAGCAGTGGACTCTAGTCTCCTTCTGGTTGGGGTGTTGTTTTTTTTTTTTTTCCGTGCCTAGTACTTGTTCATCCATCCAGCTACTCTCTAAGTGTGGTCTTTCCATTACCACTTGAACATTAGCAAACTGACACAGACCCTACAATTTAACTTACAACCACATAGTAAAACAGCTGGAGATCTGAGTGCAATTAACTCTCTTCCTCTAGCATAAAAAGCCCTGGAAAAACAGTGATAGGAGGAGAGTCAGGCTGAGGCTCCCACAGCCACCAGATGGGGGTGAGTTTGAGCAAGACAGCAGTGGGAAGGGGAGCTCATTGGGATCAGGTCTTCCTCAGCTGTAATCCAGGAGTGACAGTTTCTGTGTTTTAATTGTGTGAACAGGAAATCGGAGAGAATGTACACATTTACCTGATTGGGAAGGAATCATCTCGCACTCATTCCCTGGCTGTCTCCCTACGCTGTGCTGGGGATGACTCTATCAGTGTAAGTGGCCAGAACAGCTTGTGCCATCAGATCACAGCAGCCTGCAAGCACGGGGGTGACCTGTATGTGGTAGGTGGGTCAATCCCCCGCAGGATGTGGAAATGCAACAATGCAACCGTTGACTGGGAGTGGTGTGCTCCCTTACCCCGAGACCGGCTCCAGCATACCCTGGTCTCTGTGCCTGGAAAAGATGCCATCTACTCTTTAGGTGGCAAAACCCTGCAAGATACCCTTTCCAATGCTGTTATCTACTATCGAGTGGGAGACAACGTCTGGACGGAGACTAGCCAGCTGGAGGTGGCAGTATCGGGGGCTGCTGGGGCCAATCTCAATGGGATCATCTATTTGCTTGGGGGTGAAGAGAATGATCTGGATTTCTTTACAAAACCTTCTAGGCTCATCCAGTGCTTTGATACAGAGACAGAGAAATGCCATGTGAAGCCCTACCTGCTACCCTTTGCAGGCCACATGCATGCTGCTGTACACAAGGACTTGGTGTTCATCGTAGCCGAGGGGGACTCCCTAGTGTGTTATAACCCACTGCTGGACAGCTTTACCCGGCTTAGCCTTCCTGAGGCCTGGAGTTCAGCTCCTTCGCTCTGGAAGATCGCCAGCTGCAACGGCAGTATTTATGTATTCCGGGACCACTACAAAAAGGGGGATGCCAACACCTACAAGCTTGACCCTGCCACCTCAGCTCTAACGGTCACCAGTGGCATCAAGGTATTGCTCACCAACCTGCAATTTGTATTGGCCTAAGGACCTGCGGGGAAAAAAAGTAGACCACTGCTCCTCCCTTTTTGCCAGGTCACTTCCTTCTGTTCCTCACCCTAGCCTGAAAGGCCTCATAACCCACTGTTCCAAGGAATCCTGTTCTCTCAGATCACTATGCTACCTTCTGCTGCTCACCATAGGCTATTTCTTAGAGCCTTTTTCCAAACTAGAGTAGACTACAGTTCTCCTTGGGGCTTTTTACACAGGCGTCTTGGACCCCTCCCTGGAGTTAAGGGTGGACTAGCCTGCTGTTTGAAATCCCTGGGCACTTTTGTGCTTGGTTTGGACAGAACAACTCCTACATCTTTTGGCACAGCCTTCCCTCTATCTGAACAATGTTAAATGTGAGGGCTCCTCATCCTAGGGCCTTTTCTTTCCAGGAAACTGAAGCAGTAGAAGGAATACTGTTTCCTTGTGAATTAAAGAAAACACAAGAGTTTGCAGTTTTCCTTCAGGCTCTGATCTATGGTTTTAGTGAGGGATTCAGCCTTGGCTATTGCTTGGCTGCCCTTTAGGGACCACAACGACAATCTAGAATTCTAGGAATTCTCTGTAGTGTCTTCTCATTTGTCAAAGTAAATGGCACTTATTTCTAGGTTACCCTGTGACTATATTTGGAGCAAAGATTTTGTTTCTGATCCATAGCAGAAACTGTTCTTCCAATATGGAAATAGCTCCTGTTCTTGTAGAGGCTGTGAACCCAGGGAAAAGCCAGGACTGTTCTCAAAATAAAAGTCTTTGGTGGGATGTGTATGTGTTTGTGTCTGCCGCTGACTGGGTCACCTCCTAAAGCCATGTGACTGCATGCCCAAGACTTGTATGTGACATTCTCTCTCTCATCCAAGATCCAGAGCTGTAAAAAGACACCTGTGAAGGTCAAGAGCTGAGGTCTTTCTCTTCCCCTTTCCCAGGATTAAGATGCTTTGCAGTGACAAATGCTAAGAGGAGAAATGGGGGGCACATGGGACCTTAATAGGTACTTATCAAATGGAGTTTTTCTTGGCCCCTATGTAGTAAAAGATAAAATTCCACTGAGAACTGAGGTTACACTTAGTTTCTGTTGTTAACATGAACAGTTTTCTGAGACTGGAGCAAAACAAAGCAGACAAAAAGGATGGTTATCCATCCTTTGCCACACTTCTGGTAGAGCGAAATGTTTTTCTGCCTATTATGGGTTACAGCCCCTAGGGTCCACTGAATGCACTTCTTTATTCTGCAATGAGCAGCAGAGTCTTAAGAGTTCTTTCCAGTCCCCTTCCTTCATTCATGACCTGGTACTTCTTGGGAGGCCTTAGTTTTTTCTGCTTCAGCCATGAGCTGCTCGTGGAATTCCTTGAGGACCTCTACTTGCCCAGGTCGAATGTGGATGTGGGAACGGATCCTGGCGATAGCACCCACCGCCTCCTCCGGATTCCACTTGTACACCTGGAGTGAAAGGAAAGTGAGAAGGCATGAACTGAGGTGGGAGAGTCTCTGCCCAGGCCCCAAGACCAGGTGCTAAGGGTCTAGGGACTACTATTCTCTCAAGTCATTTTTGAACCGAACTTTATGTAGAGGTATTTTATGTTGCAGCTTTCTCCGTACACAGTTTGAAGATTGTCTTGGATTTCCCCTCGGAGGTAAGTGGTCATCGTCTCCGGTTTCATAAACTTGTTCTTGCTTTAACAAACCTCTACAGGCGGGTAGTGCTGCAAAGCAAATTAATGTACCCAAGCTGTGGAGAGGAGCCTGAACTGCCAACCAGTTCTCTCCCAAATGAGGGACTGAGAGCATCAAGGAGAGCCAGACAAGACAGGAGACGTTTCTGTGAAATTCCGCAAGGCGATTAAAAACACCTCTTTCTGTCACTGCTTTGTGTCAAGGCTGTTGCATTAGATTAGAAATGGAGAGAGCCAGGATCCCTTGGAAGTCTTGGCCTGACAGTTCAGGTCTTTGTTCTTTGGGCCTATGTTGTTCTGAAACTCTTGAGCACAAAGCATATGTAAAGCATCACTCCCACCTACAGTTCATCGGGAGTACCAAAAGAAACCTGTACTCCCGGACTCACTGCTGCCCGGAAAACACCATTCTCTCTTGTTTCATGACATAGAAACACATGAGTTCATTGAATAATCATTTGTTGAGTGACTTATGTGCAAAGCGCTAGTAGATGCTAGGAGAGGTACAAAGTAGTTAAGAGAAGGCCTCAGAATTTTCCTCTTTCTACCAGGGGAGAAGAAACCTGAAGTCTGCCAGAAGGGACAAGCTATTTATCTGTCTATGCTAGATCTCTGACAGTCTATTGATGGGCCAATTCTGAAGTCTGTGACTGGGTCCCTGGAAGGGTTTGTACTGAACTCTGCTCAATCTCATACCTGCATCAAATAGGCTGCCACCATGGTGGCACTTCTGGAGCGCCCAGCCTTGCAGTGAACATAGACACATTTCTCCAGTGCCACGTACTTGAGTGTGAACTGGACACCTTTCTTTAGGTTTTCCAAAGTTGGGACTCCAGTCATGTCCACAGTGCTGAGCCGCAATTGCTCTACTCCAAGGGCTTTCCATTCCTGGAATCAATTCCAGCAGTAGAAAAAACAAATGAAACAGTGTGGGTGGTATGAAGGTGAACACATTAGATTCGGCAGAACAAAGCATAATTACCAGGGTTAACTTTAACATCATCTGAGTAAAACTGAACATTCCTTGTTCTGTAAAATAAGCCTTCTGCATAAAGGTCTCCAAGATGGCTGATCCTATGTTGTTAATATTTAGTGAAAGAAGAGTTGTTCTTTTAACAGTGGAAACATTTTAAAGATTTAACACAATCTTTTTTTAATGCCTCTCTTGGCTATTTTAGTTTTCTTTTACAGAATTTTCCACCACAGAATATCTTAACAGCTGTGGAGTTGTGTGATTCTGTCTTTGGGTCATCCTGGCACCTGAGTGGTTTCCTGGGTTTATGGAACTATCTCTTTTAAAAATTTTCCACAAGAAATTTAAAAAAAAATTTTTTTTTAAGTTTTCAAGATTCACTTTTATAAAATTTTGAGTTCCTAATTCTCCCCCCCCCATAGCATGCAATCTGATATAGGCCACACATGTACAATCCTATTAAGTATATTTTTATGGGACTATTTCACAGTTTCTCTAAGCCTGTATGGAAGTATTCCTACTGAGAGGTGGGGGGTGAAACAGGGGTAGGAAAAGAAGAATGCATAAATTAACTAGGAAATTGAATTTTCAAATCAAAATCAATGCACCAGTATTTGCATATCATTATTACTTGAAAGACAGAAAAGATGCAAACAGGAAGGGCCTTTATGGTATCTTGGCAATTTTATTTTTGCTTTAAGACTTCTAACTGTGGAGTATATACTTAATCAGGTCTCAGTCCTACTTGGAAAACCCTAAACCATGCATAATGGCCATAGTTTAAAAACTTTGATTAAATGAACATAAAGCCATAAATATAATGTTATTTTGGAAATTGATTTTTTAAAAAAAATCAATATTTATGTTACATAGAGTAATCATGCTTTGTTTCCAAATCTAAATTTGGCAAATGTAATTAGGGCATACTTTTGTAGAAATTGTATATCCCTCACTTGCTCTACAACTAACAGACTAATACATATTTTAAGGTCTGGCTAATGATCTTTGAGGCAAATGCCCTTTAAGAAATCCAAGAAGAAGAGGCATGTAGGTGGCTCACTGGATAGAGCACCGGCCCTGAAGTCAGGAGGACCCGAGTTCAAATCCAGCCTCAGACCAAACACTTGATGCTTCCTAGCTGTGTGACCCTGGGCATGTCACTTAACCCCAATTGCCTAAAAAAAGTAATAAAAAATAAATCCAAGAAGATTTCAGAATGTTCAAAAATGTGCTTTAAAGTTACTTGGGTCTTTTGAAAAGAAATAGCTTTCCTTAAGAAGTCAGCAAGCCAGAAACAATTTTAGATTGCTAATATGCTCATGTTAAGCACTCTCCAAATGGGCAGCTCAACAAAGGCTCTAGAGCAGGGATAGGGAACCTGTGGCCTGGAGGCCATACATGGACCTCTAAGTCCTCAAATTCGGTCTTTCTGTCCCAAGTTTTATAGAACAAATCCTTTTATTAAGGAGATTTGTTTCTGTGTAGTTTGGATTCAGTCAAAGGGGATTGTTGTATGAAGTTTGGATTCAAAGGACTGAACTTGAGGACCTAGAGAGCCACATGTAGTCTTGAGGCTGAAGCTCTAGAGCATTTTTGATTTAAAACACTCTCCAAAAACTAATAATATGGAGTAGGTTATAGCATTTTATCACTTTATTATCATGAAGACATGTTTCTCCAGATCTACAGAAAGTCCTTGTAGAATCTTCAAATGTTTTAGTAACTTGGGTTGTAGAGATGATAGAAACAATTTGTAATCTGTCTAGTAAGAATGTGAATCTTCTTTTAGCAGTCAGCATGGACCTAAGTTTTGTTTAACAAAGGACTTGGTTTATATTTTCATCAAACAGTGCCAATTTTTGTCACAGGATCTGAAATAATGTTACGCTGTGTACAACTATGGAATAAATGTGGTCATTTTAAACTGTAATAAATTTGCTTTCAAAATGCCATTTTCAGATTATTCCTCTCGTACCTACCATCTGAATTAGTTGAGTTTAAAAGGGAACAAGGACTTTAAGGCCCTTGATTTCTATAAATAGAAGAAATATCTAACTGTATGGTCCAAGGTCAATCTGCACAGGAGTGTTCAATTTCCCATAGTTTTGTAGGGTCCTATGGCTCTGAACAGTCTCCAGACCCTGTAGATATCCTGTCAGCCTACCTTTTTCTACCTCTGTCTGAAAAACCCCTACAGGGTCCTGAGTGCAAGTTGGGTAAGAGCTGTGCTTGGCAGGTTTTGGTGAGATTTATTTCCTGAAGCCCTCACCTCAAAAGTGTTACACAGGAACCTTGTCTCATATTCTTCATTCATGGTGATCACTCCCCTGACATTCTCCTTCTCTATCAGCTGTAGAAAGAAAAAAACCCAAAAAATTTTTCAAATTTTCCTCCAGCATTTTCTCTACCTTTTTTTTTTGGTCCCCTAATATAGACTACCATGTGTTATCTTTATTATGATTACAGAACTTAGAGCAGTAAATCTAATCTCATTTTGCCAATGAAAAAACTAAAGCTGTAGAAAGGATGTGACTTGTCCAAGGTTACACTGTTTAAGTAGCCAAAACTGGAAGCCAGGTTTCCCGACTCCAAAATCTGATCTTTCCCTGCACATCAGATTGCTTCTTTTAAACATTCATCTCCAGCACTAGCCTTGCCCACAGTAAAGGGTTAATAAATGTTAACAGAATTTGAATTCGATGTGACCTCACAGGTCATTTAGTACACTTCAGACAGGAAGGCAGAAATATACTTGACAAGTAACTGTTCTTCCAGGAAGACCCACAGTAAAGACCACTACTTCAGGAAGTTGACAGTTTCACTTTGGACAGCTCTCAGGGAAATTTCCGGATGAGTTTAGTTGATTTCCCAGTTGAATGTAAAACTACAAGGACAGGGACTCCCCAACCATTGCCCCCCCCATTTGTCTATATCCCCAATGCCTTGCACAGAGTAGGTATTTAATAAACTACTTGTTCTATTGCCAGTCCCAGGTGGCAAATGAGATCCGAGGTTCAAACCCCAGCTCTGCTACTTAAACACCTGTTTGATCCAGAGCACTAGGCTCTCTTTTGTATGTGCATCCCTCATCCCCAGCACAGAGCCTTGCATAAAGTAAACTTCTTAACATGTTTGCTGATTGACCCAGTATAAGTCATTTCCCTTTTCAGGGCCTCTAAAAAAATGAGAGGACTGGACTCCTTAGGAAAGTGTAGTGACTGGATGAAGCCCTGGATTCAAATATCCCTGGGAGACCAGCCCTATGAACTTGAGCGAATCACTTAGTGTCTACGAACGAGGGTGGGGCTTGATGACCTTTAGGGTCCCTTCCTGCCCTACAGCGAAGACGTCTTTAAAGACGCCGGCTTAATTCCAATCCTAAGACCCTTCGGGGTAACGTGGGCTTCGGCACAGGGCCCGGCCCGCTCCTGATCTGCCGAGGTGGGGGAGGCCCAGGTCCCCGGTGGTCCCGCTCCCCCGGCGAGGGATAGACCCCCACTCTCCTTCCCCGGCCGCCGCGCCAGGTTCTCTGACCACTCCCCCTCCCATCCGCCTCCATCCGGCTCCCCACCCCGCACGCGAGGAGGTCGAGGAAAGGTCAAGCTCTCCGCAGGCCCCTCCCCCTCCCACCCGCTCAGCTGGCCTATGAGGCTGCGCAGTGACTGCACCGGGCCGGCAGGGAGCGGAGTGGGGGGAGGCCGGGCCGCGCTCCCTCTGGCCCCTCCCTCCATCTCCTCTCCACCCGCCCCCCCCCCGCCTCACCCGGCGCGTGAGGCTGCGCAGCGGCAGTGCGCCCAGCAGCACGGTGGAGTCGATGCGGTGGTACCAGTCGCGGTGCCCCCGGTCCCGACACCTTGTCGCGCACCAGCGTGTACAGCAGCGTCGGGTAGAAGAGGATCCGCGCCAGGCCGGCGCCCAGCACCGTCGAGGCCGCCATGCCAGTGCGGGTCCAGCGCGAGGAGCCCGAGTTCTGGCTTGGCCTCGGAGTGGGGCTCAGGCTCCCCGGCTTGAGATCCTGGCTCCGGCTCCGGCCCCGGCCCCGGCCCCGGCCTTGGCCTTGTCTAGAGACCTGGCTCGGCCGCCGCCCCCGCTCCTTCGGAGCCGCCTCCTCGCTAAACCCGGAGGCGCCCTCTGACGTGCTCGGGAGCAACGACAGCAGAGGAGGCTGAGGCGAGCCGTCGGCGTCGGCGGCCGAGCCCAAGACCGGCTTCTGGGCGGCGGCCCCGGAGGGGAGCGAGGGGGCGGGCACCGGCGGCATGGGGGCGGGAGCTGGAAAAGGAACGGACCCTGCCCCCCGCGGCTTTACGTCGGCTTCGGCCAATGGGGAGGCCCGCCGGGAGAGCCCGAGGGACACAGGCGGGCCCGCGGGCCAATCGAGAGGAAGAAAGGCGGGGCACTAAATGAAACCGAGAGAAACTGATGGCAGCTGTAGGGGCAGCATCGTGCTAAGAAGAGGAACCAGAGGGCTCCGGACCTGCGACTCCCCGACCAGGGTTATGCAGATTTCCTGGAAGGTTTTCATTAAGGGGAGTCTTTCTTCCGGAGATGGAACACGCTTGGGGATGGACTTCTGCTCCGGCTCTCGCAGGAGCTCCCCCACAGCTCGTGCTTTTCCTTTCTGTGGGCAGGCGCAGCAGTCGTCTGTTTCTTCCACTTAGTATCTATTCAAAGACAAAAGTCTTTTATGTCCCCTAAGGAGAGAGCCAAAGAGTAGCCCTAGGCTAAAGGCCTTCCTCCTGGTTACCCTCTTCTGAGCGCTGTTTAGATATCACCAACCTATCTAAAATGTGGGTAACAGAAAGAAGACAAGCATAGAGAGAAACAGCAAGAGACAAAGGACTCTTTCTGTGAACTTTCAATGTGCAAGCCGAACACCTGCACACGAGCCACAAGCTGGGTGCAGGAAATGCAGAGAGAAAAAATGACAGAAGCACCACCTCAAAGAGCTTGCATTTTACTGGGATGCGGTTTGTAGGAATGTCATTGGGGGTGAAGGGGAGGTGGGAGAGATAGTAGGTACCGAGAAAAGGAGAGATCCAACATGGTGCCCTGACGTGATTCTTGCACGTAGGAGATGCGTCATTATTGTCTGTCGCATCTTACAGAACAACAAAAATTCAAACTTGTTTTTATCTTTTAAAATGTTTTTATTGAAACTTCCCTTAATAAGAATGAGTATTCAAATATAGGAACAAAAATGAAAGAAAGAACGAAACAATCAGTAAGCATTTAAGAAACAATCAGTAAGCATTTATTAATTGCCTATTACACAGCGAGCAGTGGGATTACAAAAACCACCAAAGGTCCAGGTCCAGTAGGAGCTTATATTCTATCAAAGGAGACATCAAAATAAATAGAAGGGCAAAGAAAGACCTATCAATCAACCAATGAGCGTTTATTAAAGACCTATTTTGTGCTACAGATACAAGCAGAGAAAGAAGCAATTCAAGAGCTTTTTTATTCAAAAGCTTTCTTCCTAGCGGCCAAAGTGATGAGAAAAGGCTTTTCCTAGAAATGGTTTTTAACCTGAGTTATGAAGGAAAAAGGGATTCTAGGAAATAGAGGGTTAGCAAAACAAAAAAAAAAGATTGCGAATGATTGTACATGTCTTTGAACTCATTTCCCTAGAAACATAAACTTATAAAACTGAGAAAAATGATTAATCACAGTACAAAAAAAAAGGTTGAGTCCTTATGATAGTAGCACAGCATTTTAAACAGGACTAAAAAAAAATAAGCTCCAACACTTGTACGCAGCAGCCTGTTAGCACTCTGGAATCAGGACACCTGGGTTCAAATGCTGTCTCAAAAGCCTATTGCCTATGTAATCTTGGCACATCATCTCTGTGGATGTTAGTTTCCTGATCAACAAATTGAGGAGTGGAGGGTGTTAACTAGATGGCTTCCAGCTCCAGGTCTATGGACCTATGATTCCGCTTCTTTTCAGGCAGTCCATGAATAAACAGTATGCACACTGTGTGCCCAACTGCAAGATACTGAACCGACAGGGTCTCTCATGATTCCAGTCCCAAAAGCCCATCGACCCTTGGCTTAGCAATCTTTTAACTTTGAATCCTAGGATTTGCCCCTAGAAAAAAATCTTTGGAAATCCTCTCAAACAGAGGATCTGGGCCCTTCTGTGTCATGGACCCCTCTGGCAGTCTATAGACCCGTTCTCGGAATCATGTTCTAATTACCTAAAGGAAATGCTAATTTTCAGTTACAGGTTACTGAAAATAAAGATGAATTTTTTCACACCCAAATTCATAGATCTCCTGAAATCTATCCAATGACCTCTTTGATGAACCCCAGGTTAAGAACTGCTGTTTGTAATCCAACCTCATCATTTTACAGGGGAGAAAACTGAGACTCAAAGAGGATGGGAATCATCTGGCTCAGGATCACACAGCTTTCGGAGAGGGTGGACAGTTAGCAGCAAGGTTCTTAGAAATCACTGATAATTAGCCCACAGCTGTTTCCCCATCAGGTTCTGTTCCAAGGAGAAGAAACAGCAAGGTCTGAACACATAACGTGTCCGCGCGCTCAGTTGCCCACCTGTCTTTCTTTACCATGCCACCACGGGCCTCACAAACTCCTCTTCTGGTGGTTCTGGTCTGTTCCTCATAGACCTCGCCAACCCCTCATCATGGGAGGCCGGCTGCCGTCACTGTCCCAATCCATTGCCCTCTGCCAAGGATCTGCAACAAGAGCGCTCACCGGAGCCTGCGCTTGGATGAGCGTTTCCTTCTGAGCTGAACGCAGGTGGTTTCAGAAGCTGGGAAAATGGTTGCAATGAATCCCGCAAAATGGTTCCCTAGAAGCCAAGCGAAGTAGGAGGAGCTCTTATCTCAAAACACAAACCCCGCCCCATCTCTAGACCCTCCCACCACCTTCCCACCCCTCAATTTTCTCCACCTCCAGATAAATGTATCAGGTCCTCCAGCCAAAGAGACTCTGTCAACACGTCTGGGGTGTGTGTACACCTATCTAATTACATGTTAAATATGTAACATTGTATTTTTCCCTCTCTGGCTCCCAGTTCCGTAAGTGAGCCTTTGATGACGGGTGGGTTAGTGTCTTTCTCTTCTTCCCACAAGGTGATCCCTTCTACATGTAACAGACCCAGCCTAACTAACTTCCTGCTCAAGGCTCCTGAATCCCCTCTCATAACTGGCTTTGTGTAGTTAAAGGGTAAAATATTTGGTTTGTTTTGTTGCATTGTTAAAAAATCTCTGGGAATGTGAGGGTAATTCTTCCTTGCCACTTTCTCCCCGTACCTTTCTTTCCTGTGGCGAAGGAGGTACAAAGAAATAAATGAAAGAAAAAAAAATCAATTATATGGTCCCTCTGAGATCTTGGCCAGGCTATGCGTCATTTGTTAGTATGTGCTCCCCTAGGCAAGAACTGAGCAGGAACCCTTACTATTCACAAGTGAGTCTGTCTGTAAATGAGCAGTAATGAGGACTCCTCACCCTGTAAAATGTAGGTGAAGGCAACACCCTGTATCGTAAACCAAAGAGGGCTCTCCTGAGCTACAGCGATTCAACCCAAATCCAACAAATATTTATGAAGGACCTACTATGTGTAATGTGTTGTGCTCGGTGTTGGATGTACAAAAATAAAACAAAAAAATGAGAGAAACTTTCTACCTTTGAGGAGCTTACATTTTTTAGGGGGAGGGAGCAAAGATACTGAACATAAGTATGTATAGGTGCATATATGTGTATGTGTAAATATATGTATATGTGCATAAATATATTACACATGTATACACATGCATTAAATATATTACATACTTGTGCATATGCATATGGTTATTTAAGAAGGGTGAGGACAGTGAGAAGCTGGGGACACATGATCTTCACTATGAAGAGAGCCAAGGATCCTAAGATGCACAGGTAGAGAGAATGCATTCCAGCCAAAAGGAAGAGCCTATGGGAAGGCACGGAGGTGGCAGATGTTTAGGGACCAGCTTAATAAGCCAGTATGACTGGGATGTAGAGTAAGTGAACAGGATTCATGTGAAACCAGCCTAGAAGAGCAGGACGGAGCTAGATTGCAAAGGGTTTTAATGCCAAGCAGAAGATTTTGGGTTTTACCCTACATAATATAATGTAATATAAAATAATAAATGTGTCACAACAGTATAAATAATAAATATAATTATATGTGCTATATAATAATGGTAAAATAAAAAAATAATAGAGCCACTGAAGTTTCTTTGGGCAGGGAGGTCACATGATCAAACTATACTTTAGGAAGAATAATTTAGAAGCTATTTAAAGGATGGATTGGGGAGGGAAGAAACTGGGAGCTGGGAATCCAAATAGGATAATGGAGATTTGAACTGGGAGACTGTTTAGTGGCTAGTCCAATGCCCTGAATGTAGTAGGCATGTAACTTTTGTTGAACTGAATTAAGTTGAAGTGGATTGAGACTTGCTCAGGAGCAAATGAGCCTTCAGCCTAGTGTTTCTTATATCTCACTTCAGGCTTCTTTGCATCTGGCCTGAATGTGTTTTAAAGCTCTTGAAAATTTAAAAGTACTGTATGCAGGTAGCATTTATATAGCATTTTTAAGTTTGCAAAGTGCTTTACAAATATCTCATTTTATCCTCTCAACAACCCTGGGAGGTAGGTGCTATTACTATCCCCAGTAAACAGATGAGGAAACTGTGGAAAGGAGATTAAGTGATTTGCCCAGGGCCACCCAGCTACTAAGTCTGATAAGTCTGAGGCAGACTTCCAAATGCAAGTGTTTATCCAGTAGTTGCTCTTTACTTTGTAAATAAATCATGAAATTAATTAATTGTCTTCCTTATTGCTTTGGTTTTCAATCCCTATGGTACACATTATATCTTCCCCCCTCATTTTGGGCTCTATTTGGCCAGCAGAGATGGTTGTCTCCATGAAATGCTATGGACTCCTTGGAAACTATGCTGGAAAAACAATTTAATAGCCCACTGCTAGAAGCTCATGTTTTTGTTTTTGTTTTTTTCAGACAGTGGGAGTTCTTGATCATTACTGTAGATCAGGGATTCTTAACCTGGGGTCCATATAGAGGTACCATGAATGTGGATGGGGAAAGATTTCATCTTTCCCCATCCTCTAACTGAAATTGAGCATTTCCTTCCATTGTGCAATGTAGGCAACAAATATTATTTTGAGAAGGGCTCCATAGGTTTCTCCAGATACCCCAAGGTGTGCATGGCACCAAAAAGGTTAAGAACCCCTGTTGTAGTCAGATGCAGCCATTGGAAAAGAAGGGAAGGCAGCTTTCTCCCTTTGAAGTCTGATTGTGGAAAAGATGGCTATATGGGGGCTTTAGTCCCAGCTGATCACCCTAGACCCTAGTGTCTGACCTCTGTGATCATCTCCAATTTATGGGGTGTCTTGTTTGAACACTTGTTTACATGTTGTCCTCCCTATCTGACAGTGAATTCCTTAAGAGTAGGGACTTCCTTGACTTTCTTTGGGTCCCTGGCACTTCACACAGTGGGTGCCCCACGGTAGACAAAGAAATGCTTATTGACTGGTTAACTTTCAGAGCCCATTTTTCAGCCCTCATTAAAATAGGGGACCAACTAAGAGATATTTACTACAGGCTTATTATGTACTTAGCATTGTGCTGTTTTAGAAAAGTCTTGTAAAACACAGCTTCGGGGGGGGGGGAGAAAGTATATGTTAAGAATTATTCCAACTTGGAGAATCTGTAATTCATGCACTCTTCTTTCTATCCCTCATCACTCCCCTTCTTCATGCACTCCATAGTCCAGCCAAATTGGACATGCTGTTGTCTCTCATAAGGTAATCTCCATGTTCCATCTCCACACCTTTCCCCACGCCCTCCCCACCTACCCCTGTCAGAATTCCTAGTTTCCTACAAAAGGTGAGTTGAAGTCCCACCTTCTCCTTGAGACTTTTCCCCGTGCCTGAAGCCCCCAACGCCTCTGCCCCCTCTTTCCCGATTACCTTGGGTTTGTTTTGAACATAGCACTATATGTACCCGTGGTCTCCACTCCTACCCCCATTTTTGCAGCTCATTTTGGGCTGCGGTGATGGGAGGAAGGACAAATTCCTAATAATAAAAGTTATTAAAAAAAAGACAGTAGTGGCAAGTATCATACCCTGACAGACGATGGACCAAGGAAGTAGGAGACACATTTTTGAACATGGCCAGTGTGGGAATTTGTTTTGACTATGCATATTTGTTGCAGGGGGTTGTTTTTCCTTTTTTCTTTCTTTCTTTTTCATTAAGGGGGGAAGAATGGGAGAGAGAGGCAGAGAATTTTTTTTTCCTTTTTTGATGGGAAATCGGAGTTAAGTGACTTGCCCAGGGTCACACACTTAGTAAGTGTTATAGTGTTATGTGTTTGGGGCCGTATTTGAACTCGGGTTCTCCTGACTCCATGGCCGGGGCTCTATCCACTGCACCACCTAGCTGCCCCGAGAAAGACTGGGTTGTCTCGCTAAGTAGTGAGCTCCCCATCATTGAAAGTCTGCAAGCGGAGGTTGGACTGACACTTGTCGGAGATTCACGATCAACAGCAGTTTGGACCAGATGCTCTCCGTCCAGTCTAACCAAGACCCACTGTGAGTGTCCGGCGTTCAGTGACCCCTGCCTCTGGAGACCCGAGCTCACTCTCTTCCAGTTGCCCAGCATCCCAGTCCGAGAAACTGCTTCTCCACTCCCCCGCCCCAGGGGGAGCTGCAGCGCTCTTCCTCCCCCCGCCCCCGCCCTTTCCATTCAGCCCCCGCGCGGGGGTGTACCGGGCTCAGGGCGGAGCCGCGGTGGTTCATTCCTTTCACCGCACCCCCCCCCCGTCTCCCGGTGGTAGGTGCCGGAAGTGCCGCCATTTTGGGGTGTCCGGCTCCGGCGGCGGCGGTGGCGGTGGCGGCGGCGGGACGCGGAGGCTCCCCGGGGACTGGGCCTCAGCGAGGCGGCGGCGGCGGCGGCTGAGGAGGCGGCGGCGGCGGTGGCGACGGCGACGGGCGCAGGTGCAGCTGCAGGTGAGCTTGGCCCCGGCGGGATAACGGGTCTCGGCCGGGCGGGCAGCGGGCGGGGAGGCGCCGCGGGGCGGGTCCGGGTCACGGGGCCTCCCTCCCGCCGGCCGCTCCTCGCCCCCGGCCTAGCTGGGGCCGGCGCCGCGTGCCTCGGCCCCCGGGGAGCGCTGCCCCCGTCCCCCCCCCCTCAGGCCTGCCGGGCTTCGCGCCCGCGCTCCTCCCCCTTTCCCCACGTGAGCCGCTCCCCACCCCTTGGCCACGCCGTGACCCCCCGC